TCCTTGGAGGTGTTTAAGACCCGGCTCGACAAAGCCTAGGCTGGGGTGATGTAGGTGGGGCTGGTCCTGCTTGGAGCAGGGGCTTGGACTAGATGTGACCACCTGAGGTCTCTTCCAGCCTGAATTTTCTATGAGGATCCTTCAGCTGCATTTCTCTCAGAGGCTCCCTGGGACGAGCAGATAAAGGATTTCCTGAGGACAGCGCATACTTGAACTTAACAGCAGCAAATGCGATGCTGATGATCTGCTTGACACAGGCTGTCCATGGCCGGGGCCCTGTTCTAATAGGAGGGGACCTCATCTTCAGGTGTTGTGAGCACCTACTTCTCCTATTAACAGCTACCAGACATGTCAGAGCTCAGAGAGTCTGGAAATCAGAGAGTCCTCCATACTCTCCTGCAAAGCAAGCAGGCACTGTTCCCATTTTATGGATGGGGAATTGAGGACCAGCATAAAACGACCTGTCCAAGCTCCCACAGTTGATCAATGGCACAGGGGCCAACTCAAAGGAGACCCTGGTTTCCAAATCACCCCTGCCTACCGGCTCTTCTTTCCACACAAAACTCAGGCCTGTTGGGATGCCACGTGATGTTACCAGTGACATCTGCTTCAAGCCAGGATTTTTCTTATTTTGTAAGAATCAGGGCTCGTCTTGAGTAGCTGCGATGCACGATTTAACACAACCCATGTGTAAGCCCCCTACTTCCAGCCATGCAAGTGTCTAACAGATGCACTTAAACCGGCTTAATCCTCCATCTTAATCCAGGAATTGGCTGATGCAAACCAAAAGGATCCGAGCAAGGGTTAAATGTTTAAGGCCATCTATGTTAGGACCTTGCACGGCTTGACCTGACTGAAATTTAAATCCCGTCTGTTAAAACAGTGCTGCTTGGTGAATACAAACAAGACCTCCATCCAGCCGGCACATGCCAAGGTGCAATGTCGGATACTGTCAGCGCAGCACGTGGCAGAAACAAATACAGTCGTCCCCAGTCCCTCCGGGTCTGTCTGGGAGAAACCCCCTCTTGCAGTAAGGGCGCTCAGTCCATGCCAACGAATGGCCTAACGAAGTGAGCATGCCACGGTGGTTTCCCAGACTAGATGGCAGGCGTGAGACCCACTGCAAGACCTCATTTCAATGAGACCATTTAAGGGTAAGTCACCTAGTGCTGCATCTCCTGCCCCTGGTGAGCTCCAGCCCCCTCCGAGGCTACAGATGTGACGACCAGCTGCAGGCTCCTTAGCTAACAAGCAACCCCCCTGGGTCAGCCAGTCCCCAGGTCCTTGTTCTGCTGAGTACATCCTCCCTTAGAGAGCTGCCTCTGCCCTGGGGACTGGCACGCTCAGCTGACAGGGCTCTTCTGGCGTGTTTGTTTTCAGAGAGGGGCATTTTTGGCAAGCATGGGTTGGGGCTCAGCTGGTATTCTTGCAACCCTGACAAGAGCAGGCCACTCAAAGCCTTGCTTGGCTGTTTTCACCAGCCACAGAAAGAGTTACTTGGGTCTAGGGGAGTGGAAATAAAGGGCAGGGAGATGTAGGGAGAAAAGGCACGAAAGATGGTCATGACCTGGCCTCGTCTCCAGGTGCTGGCGGCAAAAATGAAGCTCCCTGTGCTCGCCGGAGCCAGGTTAGGGAGTGCCTATGGTGCTTAGGATGGGGTGAAGATGCAGAGAAAGGTCAAGGCAAGTCGGACCTCTCCCCACATCGACAGCTCCCTAAGCCCACCTTGCTAGCACCACAGCTCAGCTCTCCGCGTGGGACCATGCACCAGCCCTGTTCTCCCCTTGCACGACACCACTTCAGCCCCCCTGGGCACAGCTGTGGTAGTCATGGACTGGACAAGAAGAGCCTCTTGGCACCAGACTGACCTTCCTGGCAGCACCGAGGAAGCCAGACCCTCCATCCTGTCTCCAGGGTCACTTCTCCCCCAGGTAGTTGGTGGTCTTCCCGGTTTTCTTCAGCGTTTCCAGCAAGGTGTCGACGTTATGCTCTGACTCAATGCACACCTTCTTGTTGGGCAGGTCGATGTCAAACTGGACGCCTGGGAGGGGGAGAAGCGACCCCAGAGATGAGGAGCTAAGTCCTCTTCAGTTCATGACCCCCCACATAAAATAATTGTAGAATCACAGAAAATGAGGGTTGAAGGGACCTTAGGGGGATCACATCTCATCCAACCCCCTCCTCCAAGCAGGACGAGCCCCAACTACATCATCCCAGCCAGGGCTTTGTCTAGCCGGGACTTAAACACCTCCAAGGATGGAGACTGCACCACCTCTCTGGGTCACCTGTTCCAGAGCTTCACCACCCTCCTAGGGAGAAAATTTTTCCTAATATCCAACCTCAACTTCCCTTGCTGAAACTGGAGCCCATTGCTCCTTCTGCCATCTGCCCCCACTGAGACCAGCTCAGCTCCATCCTCTTTGCAGCCCCCTTGCAGGGAGCTGAAGGCTGCTGTTAGCACCTTCCAGTCTCTTTTGCAAACTGGTTTGGATGGAGCCGATCCTGCCTCAGGGAGGACCTTCCTCTGAGCCAGAGGGTGCTTGCCCCGCCTTGCCTGGGCTCTAAATACTAGCCTAGCTGCCCACACCCCTGCATGCACACCGGGTGCGTGGGGTGGCTGCAGCCTGAACCCAAATCCAAATCCAAATCTGCTCCGGTGTTACAAGTGACTGCAGCTGGGCAGGAGGTGGAGGTGGAGGTGGGGGGGGAGCAGGTGCAAAACTGGACATAGGACTCCAGATGTGGCCTCACCCGTACCGAATAGAGGGGAAGAATCACTTCCCTCCATCTGCCGGCAATGCTCCTACCAATGCAGCCGAGGATGCCATTAGCTTTCTTGGCAACACAGGCACACTGCTGGCCCATCTCCATCTTATTGTCCCCAGTCCCCCCAGGTCCTTTTCTGCAGAGCTCCTGCCCAGCCTGTCACCCCCAGCCTGCACCGGTGCAGGGGATTGTCCTGTCCTAAGTGCAGGACTTTGCACGTGTCCTGATTCAACCTCATGAGATTTCTTTTGGTCCAATCCTCCAATATGTTGCGTTCTCTTTGAATCTCCCTCTACTGCAATTCCCCTCCATTGCAATTCTTTTATTGCCTCTCCTCTTCAAGGGTCTCTTCCCTTGCCTGAAGCCCCACAACGCCTAACTGTAGGAAGCAGGCCCAGGCAGGCTTTTCTAGGATTTGTCACTGGAGGGCTGACCCCCTCAGCCTCAATCACCTCCACGAGTCTACCTGGGAAATGCTAGGGGGGCGCGGTGCGTTCTGCAATAATAAACCCTTGACAGGTGGGGAAGCTGAGGCACACAAGCAAACACAGCCTTTCGCCAAAGTCAAATGGCAAAACCCAGTTCCCTCCCTCTCACCGCTAGACATCCTTGTCCCCTTGGTGCACAGACACATCATTAGAAACAACTGGAAGTTCAAAGCAGCTGGCCAAGGGGAACAAGGGCTCAAGACTGAACACAGGAACGTTTCTACCAGGCTGCTGCCTGGTTTGCGGGGACCGCAGCCCGGCTCTCACGGTAAACACAGCTCAGCAGAAGGCTTCTGCACAACCAAACCACCCCAGGTCTTGCATACAGGATAAG